GGTAGCTGCGGTATTGCTTAGTGGCTTTCCGCTGAGTAAGGCTGATAGGCTGTTCTTTTCTAGTCTACTATCTTAGAGTATCTTCTGTCGGCTTTCCTAAAGTAGAGAGTAGTTAAGGAGAACGTGGGAAACTAATTCGACTTCTCCGTATTCGCATTAATCGTTGTTGATCCGACCTATTCGTGTGCGGTATTGGTTGAGCTAGTAGTAGCCGGTTCGTAGCTGGGTAAGGAGGCTAGCCTGGCTCCGTGGGAGCTTATCGTATAGGTGCCGGGTATGAGGGCCTGGCGGTGCTGTATTAATGCTTTGAAGATGTTATCCTTTGTCCGATTTCTCCTATTCGGCTGCCTAGGTTGTATATATTGCGTCCTTGACTGCTCGGAACTGAAGTGATATTAGTGGCTTAAAGCTATATTCTCTAAGGCGTGTAGTCGTAGCTTTAGCTAGTTTATCTGCTTCTTCGTTCCCTTTAATCCTACTATAGCTAGGAACCTATTACAGAGAGAAACTAATCTGATAGTTGTCTCTAATATACCGGGCTGTTTCTATAATAGATCGGACTATTCCTTAGCCTGATCGCCGCTTGCGTAGGTTCGCTAGTACTTATAGGGCTGCCTTAGAATCGCTGTAGATTGTGTAGGACGTTAGATTTAGGTTATCGTCTTCGAGGTTTTGCTCTACCGCTAGTTCTATGCCGGTGTTAATAGTAATTAGCTCGGCCGCTATAATACTATAGAACTTGCTAGAGCCGATTCCTTTCTATACTTATCTATAGATACTTTTGTAACGAGGCCTCTTCAGCCTAGGCGTTGGAATTGCCTAGCGGGTGAATAGGTTCGAAGGATTTACCTTGAAGGATAAGAAGTGTAGGAAGTTGAGAGATAAGTTACGTGAATATCGGGGTAGGCGTGTTACTATTAACCTTTAGTAGAGATTGATACTTTGAGTTGACTACGAAGGTCCTATCTACTGCTAGAGAGCGTAGTCTTATATATATATAGGAGATGCTTAACAATCTGGGTCCTAGCCCTTAGATTAGGAGGGTTAGATTAAGGATATAGGATTACTATAATCTATTAGTCCGTGCGTCCTTCGGGTTAGAGACGTTGGATTACTATAATCTAAGGTGGGTCCTATACGTGACCTTGGTGCCGCTTTTCTAATAGCTAACTTCCTACGACCTAATAACCTTCTTCCTTATTATAGAGCGGACGCGATAAGTTCCTTGTCCTTGATCGCTCTGTAAGCCTGTTGTCGGCTTTGCTGCTTTTATCCTTGTGGACGATAATCCCTTATGGGCTTCTTGGGGTTGTGGTCTTAGTTCCCTTGCGGCTTTGCCTAGTACGTGTCTGCTGGTGCCCTGCGGGACGCGAGCCCTTATGGTTACTAAGCCCTTGAGGTCTCTAGGCCCGTGTGGGCCTTCTTCCTATAAGGTCTTCTTGACCCTGCGGGTTAATTTCCCTTATAGTCTATAATACTATCCCCCCCCTTAAGGATCTTCGGCCCGAAGATTTTCCTTCTGGCCTATATCTTTCTTGTTCGTCGTTTATTTGCTTTTCCTTCTGTAAGTATTTTCGCTATGTCTTTGAAGCGCAAGCGTGATTCCTAGAAAGCTGAACGCGAGGTTCTTGCTGATAAGGTGGATTCCTTAGGGGCTGTGATGCCTGTTCCTTGTTTATAATGTTTGCTGGCCGAGGCCTAGCGGAAACCTGAGGATTCCCCTGTGGTTTGTAAGGTGGCTTTGGGGTTTTCGCGATGTGGCGAGTGTTGTCGCCGTGGTCGTACTGGTTGTGATGCTAGTGGTTTGGAAGATTCTGACTGTCCGCCTCCCTTTCCGCTATACGTACTGTTGCTAATTTGTATATTAGTTGAGCGTCTTCGCCGTGCTTTGGACAAGGCTCGTTCTGAGCGTGCTTCTTTTAAAGAGTAGTTGTAGAAGGCCGCGAATGGTCTTTCCCGTGCTCGGAAGTAGTAGGAGATGCTGGAACGTCGGGCTGCTCTGATGCTTTAGCGTAAGTCTGACGCCATCGATGCTTTGGGTGAGCTAGAGGAGTTGGAGTCGGGGGTATCGTTTGACCCTGAGAACGAGGACTGCGATCGATATGCAAAGCGCTTGCGTGGCGAGTCCTTAGCTGATACCTCTGTGGGTCCTGCGGATGTGGGTTCTCCTGGGGCTGGTTCTGCTGCGCCTCCTGAGACGTCGGAGCCGGTGGATTTCGCGCGGATGCCTACCTTCTGGGAGGTTGATCCGTTTCCTGGCGAATTTGACGTGTCGGCTTTGGGCGATCTGGATTTCGGCGGTGGAATTTTCTAATGAGTTCTTGATATCCGTCGCAGTTCTTAGGTGGTTCCTAGGTATTATCCTAATTTCCTTCCTATTTTAAGAGATAGCGGAATTGACCGTTGACGTGTCCGCTGTCTAGGACTTTCTCGACTATCTATTCTTGGTTTTCGTCGGCATTAGGGTTTTCCGGTATTATTTCTTCTGTCTGTTGTACTGCAATGGCGTTTTCTGGTGCCGATTCTAGTAGTGCGACATGGAAGACTGGATAGATTTTCATTGTATCCGGTAGTTTGAGACGATAGTTGACTTTTCCGATTTGTTCGTTAACTTCGAACGGTCCCGTTTTCTTAAAGTCTAATTTGTTGTTGGGTCGTTTTGTCCGGATATTTTTTCTAAGGAGGTAAACTTTATCCCCCTTCTTAAAGGTCGGTGCCTCCTGGTGCCGCCTATTGTAGTATTTTAATATTAGAAATCTATTGTATTCTATGTCGAGGCTTAACTGTCTGTGTAGTTCTTTTAGCTGGTCTGCCTTTAGGATTCCTTTCTGGGCAAGGGACTGGCTTGGCTACGGCTTATTATAAGCTGTTAGTTCGTATCTATAATTGGTATAGAACGGCGACTCCTGGGTGGTAGTTGCTTTGGCGCTGTTGTACGCGAATTGGGTAAGAGGTAAGAGTTCTACCTAGTTATCTTGTGCGTAATTGACGTAGTAGCGTAGGTGCTGTTCTAGGGTCTGGTTTGTTCGTTCCGTTTGTCCGTCTGTTTGCGGATGTGCCGTTGTGGATATCTTGTGTTTT